TGTGTGTTTGATTTACATGCAATTCGCTAAATATTATATATAAATTATTTATCAGGCATGCTTGTGAATTCTTCATATATTGATTTACATATAATTTGTAGTCTTTTTCATGTAATTTAGGGGCATTGACGGGGATGTGCTCTCTGTGTGTTTGATTTACATGTAATTATCTAGAGATTACATGTAAATTATTCTTTAGTCATGCTCACGAGTTTGTTCACATATTGATTTACATGTAATTCATACTTGTTTTCATATAATTATAGGGGATTGACAAGAGCACCATGTATTTGATTTACATATAATTTTCTAGAGATTACATGCAAATTATTTCTTAGGCCTACTTGTGTTTTTTTTCCATATTAATGTACATACAATCCATAATTATTTTCATGTAATTTTGGGAGATTGACAGGGGCATGCTCTTTATGTGCTTGATTTACATGTAGTTTGCAAGATATTACATGCAAATTATTCTTCAAGCATGCTTGCAAACTTTTTCCCACATTTGTTTACGTGTGATTAATTGTCATTTTCGTGTAATTGTAGGGGTATTGACGGTAGGTGCTCTTCGTGTATTTAATTTACATGTAATTCATAAGATATTACACATAATTGTGAAGTCCAAGTCAGAAACCTTACACCCTAAGACTTGTAACAAAGTCAAAAGGCTTGCACCCTAAGCCAAGCCAAAAGGTTTACACCCTATGCCAGAAATAGAGTTAGTAATTTGGGCTAAGATTGACGGGCCAGCCCGACTTGCTCAAAAAATTTAGGATCAAGCCTAAAAAAAATTAATTTTTATTGTTTGGATCAAGCTCAATTGGGTTCGGGCTTGACCCAAATACCCAAATAAAAATAATTGTTTAAAAATATATATAAATAATAAATATTAATTAATTCTTTAAGTTTTATATTAAAATACTATATATTTGAATGCATCACTATAGTTATTAAAAAATTTATATTTTCATATTTATTATTTTTAAGTAATAAAATACCTAAAAATAATATTTAAAGTATATTTTAATATTAATTTTATATTTTAGACCATTTTTTTAAAAAAATTTTGAGTTATATACATCATTTCCATATTCAAAAAAACATATTTTATATTTTTATAAAATAATATAATTAATTTCAAAGTAAAAATAATTTTAAAAATAAAATGTGAGCATGTATGAATTTTCAACTCTACTACTAGATAAATAAAATATTTTTAGATAATTAATTAGTTATCATCTATGCTAGATTTGGTTAAAAATTAAGAATAAATTAAAGTTAAAAGTAAAACCCTTTATATAAGGATTAAATAGTATAAAAAGTTAAAGAAAAACAATTCTAAAAAATAGTATTTTACTCATAATTAAATAAATTTTATATGATATAATGATAGTTATTTTTTCATATTCTTAAAAATAAAAAGTATAGTTTACTCAAAAGTTATTAAAAATTTTAAATAAATCAAAAAAATTTAATCAGTAATTTAATTATTGTTGGATTAACTTGACAAATAAAATAAAAATTTTTTAAAAAATAAAAAATATTAATAACTTTAATTTATATAAAAACTATATATTAATGCATACATAGTTATTAAAAAAATTTATATTTTCATTTTTATTATTTTTTAAAAAATTAAAATAATATTTTATTTTATATTATTTTAATTAAAATTTTTTTAAAAAAATTTTTTAAAAATCTTTTATTCAAAAAAACATATTTTATATTTTTTAAATAATAAATAATTTCAAAGTAAAATAATTTTTAAAAATAAAATGTGACATGTATAATTTTCTCTCTACTAGATAAATTTTAGATATTAATTAGTATCATCTATGCTAGTTTGGTTAAAAATTAATAAATTAAAGTAAAAAGTAAAACCCTTTATATAAGGATTAATAGTATAAAAAGTTAAAGAAAAACAATCTAAAAAAATAGTATTTTACTCATATTTAATAATTTTTATATGATATAATGATAGTTATTTTTTCATATTCTTAAAAATAAAAAGTATAGTTACTCAAAAGTTATAAAATTTTAAATAAATCAAGATAATAATTTCAAGTTAGTAATTTAATCATAGTTGAATTGAGATTAACTTGATCATAATTGAAAAATAAAAATTTTATATAACTATAATAAAAGCAATAATTAATAACTAAAAATTAATTTATAAGTAAAGAAAATATTCATGAAAAATTACACATGGTACAATAAAACAATAACAAAGTTACTTAATATAGAGTTGATATGTTATCATTTTTATTTTATTCTTTTAAAGTTAAATAATATTTTATTGTTTATAAAATTATTTAAAATTAAAATTATTTTGAAAAATAAAAAAATATTTTTAAAAAGCTTTTGGTATTCGGGCCGGCTTGAATAAGCCTGAAGCCCGATGGTGTTAGGGCTAGGCTTGGTTATATAGGCTTTTTAGAATGGGTAAGATACTTTAAACTCGACCCGCTCGAATTGTTGACTCTACTAGAACATGTGTACCCTAAGCTAGAAATCTTGCTCTCTAAGCTAGATCCCTTGCACTCAAGCCATAAACTTTGCACTCTAAACCAGAAGCCTTGCACCTTTTAATTATTGAGTTTATATGTAATCTTTAATAATTACATGTAATTAAGGGTATTCACTTTTTTTTGATGAACCTTTACTGGCTAGCTGAAGTTTCGGCAAGCACACTGTCAACTATTGAAAAAGTGGCCGGAGCTCCGGTAATCAAATTTTGTGCCTTTATCTTAATTTTTTTAGTTAACATAGAAGGGCATTTTGGTCATTTAATCAAATTATTTTATGAATAAAATAATAGGCTTGGTCTTTCAATTTATTTTGATTCATGAGCACAATTTTGGTTTCAATTAAGTCTTTGCTACCGATTTTCCCCAAAAAATAACTATTATTTTGCAAACTTTAATATCATACATAAATTATAAATGCATTCAATATGTGATCTTTTACAAATATACAAATTCTATAATTACATAAAAACAAAAAGAAAAAATTAATCATTTGGTCCTTATAGTTTTGACTCAACTGTAACTCAAACTCTTAATTTTGACTTATTATAACTCAATTGTTAAAGTTTTGACTCGATTATAAATCAGTCTTTAAATTTTATCTTTTATAATTTAGTCTTTGAAAGTTCTACATTTTAAATATTGATCCTTATATTTTAACGAGTTAAAGTTGAGTTACAACTAAATTAAAATTATAAAGATTAAAAGATTAATTTTTTCAAACAAAAATTTAAAGATTAACGATAAAACCTATCCATCAATGCTAATGTTAAAAATGTGGCTGATGAATTGTCTGAATTGCGAAGCATGTCCAGGTCTCGTAACGTTTGCTCTTATTTTTTCTCAAATCTTATCTTAAAGCTTGAAATTTTCATGGGTTCCTCTTCGCTTCGAACTTGTTGCTACCCATTGGATTAAATTGAAGATCAGAGGTAGCGTGGAGTACTCGAGACCTTTGAAGGCTTGAGTGAGCATGGATTTCCATGAAATAATTTTGTCTAATTTTGTCATTTTTAGTTTCTGGAATTGAATTCCCTCAAGTGGCATTCGTAGTTTTGTATGGTAGTGACAAGCATATTGCAATGGTAATCACAGCCGTCAAGGTCAATTCTTTCTACACATACATACCTGAAAATTACATACCTATATTTGTCTATTTGATATTACTTGTTAAGATGAATTAACTATTTATATTATTTACAAAAAAAAAAAGGATGTAGCATCTATTAAAAAAATTAGTAAAAAATTATTTAAGAGGATTTGACTATATACAAAGAAAATTACAGTAGACACCGATTAAAAAGTGAAATGAAAAAATTTCAATCTTCTTAAAAAGGGACAAGGGATTGTCAAACAGAACATTTATGAAAATTATTAACTACAACTTCTCAATTAACATTTTTAAAATTGATAAATAATAAAATACAATAATATAGTACAATCCATAGAGCCAATCTTATTTAATGGAATAAAAGTTGTAGTATATATTGCGACCACACCCGTGCGAATGCACTATGTTTGAAGATTGCCATGCCCTAATGCTACATTCTAGGATATTAAGATTTTATTAGATCTGAAGGCAATCTTCAACCTCAAGCCTCCCTTACATAGAGGAATTGAATAGGTTTGTAATAAATTATTTTAATTATGAATTTATGATCCTTTAATATTTAGAATGAAATTCAAAACGAATAAATTAATAATGCAATGATGATGATAATAAACTTTCAAGAATAAAGCAGATGATTTTCCATTTTCGGCCACAAAAACTTACCACCCCATACTTGCCATACAAAAATCATTGATATCAATATCAATAAATTGACAAATTAATATATCAATATCAAATCCATAAGAAGCAACGCTACCAATAAAATTATAAATGATGCCAACGCCATCCAAACACAAGACCCATAGGCAGCTACCATAATATTTCGGGGATCAAGCCTCAAAAGTTAGAATGAGTCCTTCTGTACTACTTATTCTCTTCATTAAATTAATACTTCAGTCTTTACCAAATATGCAAAAACTCTAATGATATCATGGTATGGCGAGGCATGGGAAGTAGCAAGCCACACACACACACACATCTTGAAGTCTATGGACATAATAATATATATTACACATAACAATATACCTTGGCTGCCATAAGATAACCAGTTACGCCCATTATACGAGGGCAAGCATGCCCTCTTAAAATGGCTTACAATCATAAATTAAAACCTAAGCCATTACAGATCCCCCATCATGTCACCTGCAAGGGAAGTTAGCAAAGCAAACATCAAATGGATATTAAAAAGAGAATTAAGTTTAAAAGGGCTTTGCTTGATCAGGGACGTAATTTCCTCCGCAACAAAATAAATTCTAATTTTTCAATACCAAGAGGAAAAGACAAAAGAAAAGGACAAAAGGGATTCCAGTTGCCATTCTCCAAGCGAAAAAGCCTATGCTAGAGCAAGAGTGCCACTATAGTTTAAAGTTAAATTGCAGCGCATGCAAGAACGGCACCACATCTTATTTAGTTTTTCAAAATGATCACAGAAATTCTAGTGATTTTTAAAACTCCTTCAACTCCCGCCCCCAAACAACAACAAAAAAAAAAAATTCTATAATTGGAAAGGGAAGAGTTGGCCAATAAAGAAAGGGGAATTCCTTTAAAATTGAAACACAACACTCTGGTTCAGGCAATGAAATTCTCTAGACTAAAGTGTGATTGAAGTTCCTACTCCTTTCTTATTGGAAAGGGAAGAGGTTGCCCAATAAAGATAGAATTCCTTTTATTGTATCAATCTTCTTATTTCTTTGCCTCTTCAGGTTCCATCCGGGGCACAAGTCCACGTATAATAATGATAGGGCAATCAGGGCATTATATTTAGCAAGTCAAGCAAGATTGTCATAACAGCTCGAACAGGGGTGGCAAATAGGAGGATTAGAGCCAACCTGATTTTAACCTGTTTAGAGTCAAGCAAGAAACTTTCAAAATTAATCCATGACATATTTCTGGGCAGGGTATCTATCCACTGACCCATAATTTCGTTGGTTATCTAATCTCTCCAATCCATCCACTACATAAACATGCTTTTCGTTTCAGAATGCATTCTCATAAAACTTACCATGCATACATTTGATGAAGTGATCCAACTCTGGCAAGCAAATATTCCCCTGAACCATGGAAGGTTGTTGATATGCAAAAAATGAAAAGAGGTGGTGATCAGGATCATTTCTTGGCTTCGCGATATCAACTAGTCTCTTGAATCCTTCTCTCTCATAACAAGGCATTGCATTCTCTCCAGCTACTATCAACCCTCGATCCCAGGATGAGTTCAATACCTGGGAACATATAAAACTGGTCATTACTCATGCCAATTATATAAATTTGCCCAGGGTGGGATGAACATGGTGATCAAAATCAGTTATGCAAATTTCAAACCCATTATAAAATATAAATGCTGCCTTTAAGCAATGCCATTTCAAAAGCTTGGGCCAAAAAAAAAAAGAAGGAAAAGAAAAGAAAATGGCCAGTTCAAAAGCTGGATTCGGGTTGCAAGCCTGGCAGAAAAAAAAAAATGACTACTACCTGCCAAGTCAAGCCCTCTGGGTCAGCCAATGACTCGTCAGCTTCCTGACTAGAAAGCTGAAATCCTAAGCAGACAAACTTCATGGTCACACCATGTTTTTTTAGAACCTCAAAAACAGGAGAGTATCCATCCTGGTTCGCAGGATTGTGATATCCTGCCGTCAACTCTGCTGCATGACTACCAGTCTTGTAACACCAGTATACAGCAGGAACCTGCACACCAGCATCTTTTCAGGTAACCCTCCATTGATTTCAATAATATTAAAAAAATCAGACTCCAATGATTAGTTCCAACGGCCCAGATAAATGACAGTAAATGTAACAATCAGTCTTCCAAAGGTTAATAAGCTATAGCAATAAATAACACTGAAATGAAAACTCATGTCAAGAATTAACTTCTTTTTTATCTTGTCAGCTCAATTGAATACCAAGCTCATGCCTTTCCAAGAATCGACAAATTTCTCAGAAAAGCAATTATCAATGAATAAAGCAGGTATAAAAGATGGAAAAATTACTATAGGAAATCATTCCGGTCAAAGTTCATTTATTAAAATGTCTAATATTTGATTAATTAACCAACAAATAAAAATATAGCACAAAATTTTTCTCCAACCAGCCACCATTTATTTGGTTGCTCTGCAAAAATATATTTCACATGCCATAATTCTATTGGGGAACCTCATAGCAAACACCTTGTAATTATATCCAAGCAAGCTAGAGCCTCTGATTCACTCTCCTGTTCCCATAAAATTCCCCAAACCATACATACTTATCCCAACATGTTTATTCTGCTGCTGATAAGCTCATTTCCTTACTTTTCTTTCCCCTAGAATACATTTGAAATTGGACCACATCCACCAGCACTTAATGCTGGCACTAAAAATCATCAATAAAATTTAGTTGCACAGATTATAAAACAACTATTGAAAAAACTATGATGTAACAGAAACATACCTTGACAATTAGTCTTTTTTCCTCAAAAGCCAGGCTTGCAAGAGACAAAACATTATCTGCATGGTCTATTAATGACTGGGCATACCAATGCAAGAAGAAGCGCCCATAATAACTGTCGTAATCGCCCCGCTCACAAAAGAATCCAGTTTCATGTGGCATAGAATTGTATTGTCCAGCATTATCAGGTCCTCTAGCCCAGAAAGTGTGACCACGTGATTTGGCTGCTCTGCGTAGACTTTGTAGCAGATATTTATCATAACACTGCCCACAAAAATGTACCAAGAAAAAGGCAAAATATGGATCAGTATCAGTACCTAAACTATGGTATCACACAAATGCATAGCAACGTTTGTAATCCAAAAGATGCAATTAATTTAAAACAGGGACAAAATTAGATACCTGAAACTCACCAATACCAGGGTACCTCCATCCCATCCTTTCCGAAAAAGAAGGATATTTCAGCTCCCCAGATGCCCCAAGTCCAATTTCTACAGCAGAAATGAGGCCCTCAGCAAACAGGTCATTAAACTCTGTCCGAAAGCTTCTCATGAAATCAAAATAGACCTGCACATATAAGACAAGGTTCATCAGAGATACAAAACAAATGGCCAACTCTTCTTTTTAATAAATGAAATGCACAACTACATTGGCAATCAGTTTGTAATGCAACTAACAGTCATTCAATGACGTTGAAAAAATACTTCATTTTTAAACAATGGAATATGAAATTAAAAAATGTATTTGGTATTTCATACCTCAATTCCAGTTCTTCCTTTCAGAACTCTCTCTTTGTCAATGCCCCAAGAAAGACATTCAGTATTCCTCCGTCCTTCACGATCTGTGAAAAAAATATCCCGGTTGTCTTTTCCAATCTCCAAAATCCATTGCGGGAGGGCAATGAGCGGATCACTAGAATCATCCCCTCCATATTCATGAAAAGCCATAACAACCTTCAAAATTTGGAATGCGAATCAGATAGGTTACTCATACAATCGTAATTCAACTAGGAAAGCATCCAAACTTAAGAATCAGAATCCTGATTCAAGATAAAAATTATATACTAATCCTCCATAAGAAGAAAAGGATAGAATAATACGCATGTCTTGGAGTAATTAAAAATACCTGCAACTTCAACTTGATTTCTCTAACAATGTTAAAGAGCTCCCTATAGCCAGACCACACATATTTCTGTGGGCTCCAGCCTTCCACAATGCCCCACCAACAATCCACAATGACACCATCAAAATTTAAAGACTTCATGTGAATTAGCTCCTGTCTAAGTCCTTCAGGATCAATCAACTGGCAAAATTTGTTAATAATACCAGCCTGCAGTAAAATCCATATTTTAGAAATAGAAATCCTATAATTGAATGAAAGGTCTAAAACAGTCAATGACTTAGAAACAGAACCTCAAAAAGTGCCGTCGTTTCGGGGGGGAAAAAAAATTGGCAGGCATTAATATGCTGGTTTAACACAAAACTGAAAAACAGAAAGATTACGGCAGCAAATAGGAGACACGTACTGGAAGTTTTATATAAACAGGAACATAAGGAGTGCCTGTAAAATCATTCCGATGCACCCCAGAATGAATATCCTGCATGAGCTGCATAAATAACTTAAATCATTAGGGGTTCTGAATAACATCTGTTTGTACCAAGTAACAGAGTACCCAAATAAAGGATATCCATCAGTTCTCAGCCTAAAACTGCAAAAGACAATTCAGACTTCTTAGTTTTAAGGAATTGACATAAAACCCTTCAAAGTTCAGTGCAATATGCATTTTATCTAAAGCACGTCAGCATGGTAATTGTAAATGTGTACTTGGCACTTATATTATCCCTGATTGCAGAGCTCAATCATTCTACGTCAGAAATGAAAGGATCATACAAATTCTGAATACCAAATATGTTCGCACACTCCAAGCTTTCTTTTTACTATGCAAAATGTAACTTCGTAGATTCACTGGAGAAAAAAGAAATTGCCAGCACGTAAGCATGACCCTCAATGACTTTTGCACCATAAAAACATGGATTAGGGCTGCAATGCTTTACCAAGAAAATTAATAAGATGGTCTCAAGTTCAACAAGCTAGATCCAAGTTAGACATGAGAATTTCATTCCTTAACCACATTATAAATTTAAATTCACACCATTCTGACCAAAATTTAAATGAAATAAATTTTACAGATAAGTTTTTGATCTATCAAAAACAAAGTATAGGATAGGACTACAAGTCATCTTTCTTTCTTTTTTCTTTTCTTTTCTTTGTTTTCTTAATATTCATTCATTCATTCATAAAGCGTCGCGACATGAAATATTGGCTAGATATCCAAGCCATCAGATGCCTCATATTTTAACCACAGCTCATAAACTGAGACATAGACAAGTCATGGAAGAAGAATATAAGACGGAATATAAAAATAGTAATGACCATGGCCATATTTCTACCAAACACTAGAGTGCAAAATTAGACTATAAGTATGCAATTTTCAAGCTAAGCTAACAAAACTGATGAAGAAGAATGAAGTCAACCAATAAGATTGCTCATATAGAGATAAATTACATCAAAAGTAATTTAAAAAAATTGAATTATACACCAAAATTACCTGATCAGCCTCCAAGCAGTCAACTGGATTGATAGGGCTTGCACTTGGATATTTCTCATTCTTTGAATCCCTCTCTGCAATTACAACAGAATCAATGGATGCAGGTGACAAGCTTTCATCAATTCTAAGTACTTGTGGCTGATTCTCTAGTGTTTCTTTAGCAGTGCAAGCTCTTAAAGAACCTGCAGAGAGTGGGGTTTCAACTGACCCCGCAGCAAATGATGCCTGCACGGTAGTATAAGTTTGTAACGTTATAAAGTAAAGAACTTCAAATTATTTTGTGGCCAAATCAATCATCAGTCATAATTCTATCTTCTTTTCTTCTGATTTTTGAAGGGAACTACTGGTCAACTAGGCTTGGGACAATAATTGCCAGGTAGGCTTTTCTTCTGATAGACCTGCTAAAGAAACAATGTCTTTCCACTGTGAATTTCAGTTAGTGGAAGACATAGCATAACCATTCTGGAATCTTCCCTTATAACTAGTAGAAACTATGCTTTCATCTGCAATAAGAGACATTACGTACGGAAAAAATTATGGCAATAACCATGCAACTCATTCCTGACTTTGAAACCCTACTAAAACCTGCTTTAACGTGTTTAGTTTCACATTAGAAAGCCTATTTCCACCAACCATGGTTTTGGTGGTCGTGAAGCCAAACATGCACTTAATCAAATTACCAAAAATGCAAAACCAAGCTGCATTGATTTCTACGTCAGAGAATGGTTTATCTTTGCCTATATCCCCCTCAGTCAGCCATATTCTAGTAAACACCAATGCTAAACTCAAAGTCAACCCCCTTCACAGATTTAGTTGGCAGACCTACGCCAACTTTTAACTAAGATGCTACACGTGCTTTCTTCCGAGTTCCAACCTTCTAAGCTAAAAATAATAACGGATAAATTTGTTTTGTTTTCTTAAATGGGAATATAGTTTCCACATGATTAATACTGCTCAAAATTCAATGCTCAATTTCCATGAATGTCACAACTCAGAAAGGGAATCACAAGTACCCCATCAATTAAGCAATACAATCAAAAGCAAGAGATGAATTAAATATAAATTTTATCAAGTTCAAGACGATGTTACTGGACTATTGCAGACATGAGCAGAGCATTTCAAAGCATATCACACGAACCATTTGCGAAGGAGGCGGGCACTGACGGTAGGTGGTACCATCTGCCTCGACAACCCAACCAGCCTCACGGGCGAGGGCAGCAAGCACATCATTCATGTCAGCACGCGCCGGGAGAGGGAAATTACCATATTGACGGAGGCCGGCGAGCATACGGCTAGTGATTGCTCGACGGTGACGCTCTCGGAGCTTGGTGCGCTCCTTCTCTTTCTCTCTCTCTTTCTTGCCCTTTCCGGCGGAATTGGGAGCGCCGGTAGCCGCCGCAGACGTGGCTGCGAAGCCACGAGGGCGGCGAGGCTGGGGCTGGGGCTGAGGTTGGAGAGGAAGAGAGTGAGCTAAATAGTCGGAACTGTGGTCACTTTGAGGGTCGAGATCTTGTCTGCAGTTGTCGTCGTTGATGCTATTCATCTTTCAGATCCTTCTCCTTCATTACTGTTATCACTGTAATTCCATTACTCTACTTCTCTATCCCTCTCTACTCATTTCCAATTCCTTCATGCTGCCTTCCAATACTCCACATTTCACAGGTTTACTTTCAATTTCAATTCGTCGCTGCTTGCTTCCCTTTCCACGCCTCTTTCATGAGTCAGCTCCTTTGTCAGTGGCTGTTATTTATAAGCGTTTTCAGCATGTTTCATTAAAATTAAGTAAATTTTAAATTTAAATTTCATTAATTTTATTTTAAAATTTAATAAATTTTTATTTCTAATAAATATTTTTAAATTTTATTATTGATATTTTTATTCAAAGTATTTAAAAAAATAAAAATTTAAAAATGAGCATTGAAAACTGACAAATATCATATAAATGAGACTAATTTTTTTTAATTTCTCTATTCTATAAATAAAATCAGGTGTAAAATTTAAATATGAACAATAATCAGTGTAATCCCATCATTATTGATGGCTAGAAAATTAAAATCATCACAAGTATATTAATATCAATATCATTACTGGTAAAAAAATATAATAAATCAAACTATTTATAAGCCAAATATTACAGTTAATCTTTTGAGCAAGTTTATATTTATGAGATTTGTTTATATTTTGAAATAGAAATTGCAGTTATTTCTAAATAATATATAATGTTTAATCGATAATACTGTCTCCTTTGGCCCAAAAAAGAAGAAGCAGGGTCTCAGGGATATCATTCTTAAAATGGATGCAATGATGATTCTGTACATGCATATCCACGTATCTGTGTATTGTGATTAGAGCGTAGGTTTTGTGCTATATGAAATTTAAAATAAATCACTCATGACTTGTCAATAATATCATTTTTTTTATAAAGCTTGTACTGTATATTTGTAATATCTTTTTGTGGAAATCTAATTCCTTTGTAAATTAACATTATTAATTTTATTAAAATATAATTCATATTTCATAAGAGGGACGCTTATGCGGACCACATGAAGGGAGGGAAAAAAAGAGGGATGCTCGTATAAAACAAAAAACAAAAAACAAAAAATAAAGAGGGATACTTTACAATGCTCCATTAAGAAATTTTCATAAATTCATAAATAGTAATAGCAATTATTATTATTTTTTAAATGTAAAATATTTTGAACACCTTCGATTTTATATTAATTACACAGACATTTTTTCTACTTTGAAAATATATAATTTAGTACAAGCCATTAATTCTGCTAAAAATATTCTTAAAAATTATAAAAATTTATTTTTAAATCAAAATTTATATTACAGAAAATTTTATTACTAATTTATCTATCACCCTAAAAATTCTAAATTATATTATTTTGATAGTTACATAATTTCATTGTCAAAAATATATTTGTAAATTTTAAATTTAAATTATTTATATAATTTTTTGAACTTATATCATTTTATGTTATGTGATGTACCAAAATATATTTTTAAAAACATAAATAAATAAGCTTCAATAAATTTGATAAAAATTAATAAAGTTTATAATGTAATAAAAATGTGAAAATGTAATTATTAGATTTTTAGTTGTGTACAAATTTTTTATAAATATAAATTTTAAAAATTCTTATATTAAAGAGGAGCATTATGATTGAGTTAAAAATTTAAAAGTCAAAGTTAACAAACAATTGAATAGATGTAAATAGAATATTAAATATATAAAAGAAGTTTATACAATATATTTTAATTTTAAAATAGATTTATATGTATTTCTAAAATAGAAGAAAGATATGTGTAATTAAGTTGTAATATAAGAATGATCAATACATTTAATTTTATTTTTAAAAAATCTATTTAGATTGTGCTTTATGCTCTTGGGCTATTTGGACTGAACTCAGCCTAACTTGATGTGCACAAGACAGTCCAAATTGCAAACTGTTTGTTCCCATTAGGTCTCATGTTCAAAAACAAGGACTCAGCGTCTTCCCAAGTCAGGCACTGGATTTTTTGCCCTTGTTTAGAACTAGTTATTTTAAAGGTGTTCATAGGTTCGATTTGGTTTTGACCAAAAATAAAACTGAATCGAACCATTCGGTTTACTTATAATTGAAACATGATCAATTTTTATGGAGTTTGATTTGGTTTGATTTAATTTTTGATTTGGTTAAGATCTGGATTGGGCTTCAATGCACTTATTTAATTTTTTTAAACTTTTTTCTATCTTTATAATGGTGCTATGTATTAAAATTAAATCTAATTCTTTTTGGCTCCTTTTTTTATAAATAGAGGTATAAAAATATAATAAAATTTCAATGTGATAATGATGATTAATCATAAAAATTGATATAAGTTTTTGGATTAAAATTATTTAGTATTATACATTTTCATTCAAGTCATTTGAAAATATTTATCTATGTATCTATATTTTAATAAACAATAAAAAACATATTATATAAAATTCAAAACAAAATATTTATTGTAGATAAATTAAATACTGAGACTTTCAAGTTGTAAATAATTAAATGATGGTCATAGCATCATCATTATAATTATTTAATATTATGCATTTTCATTCAAGTCTTTTAAAAATGTTTATCTATTACTATAAAAAATTAAAACAAAATGTTTCTTGTAAATAAATGATTATGTATTTTATAAATAAATAAGTAATATTTTTTAATCAAGTTTGGCTCGGTTTGGTTTGATTTGATTTCTATATTTAAAATTGAACTTGAATTAAATCAATCAATTCCCATATCATAAAAACTAAAGCAGGCTTGATTGTTATTCGATTTTGATTGATTTTTTTTTTGTTTGAATTAGTTTGAATCGGTTCTTTTAATTTGGATTGGTTTTAAACACTGTTAATTATTCATAAATCTTAATGTCATCCTGTAAATTTTACAATCCAGACGAAACCAGAAAAGCAAAAATGAAAAACGAAAAATGACATTTTCTTTCAAAAATAAAAGGCTTTAAAATACAAGGATGGATTTACAAAATAAAAAATATTTGAATGTTTGGCGAACTTATTTTATTATATTATCGAAAACTGTTTTATTATCTCCTCTTATTAATTAATAACTTCCAAACAAAAAAATTCAATTAAGTTTTTCAATTTTTTTATTTTTAAAAACAAAAAATTTAGAAACTCATTTGGATAAGTATTTTGGATTTAATTATTTTCAAAATTGTTCTATTTTTTGTTTTTTAAAAATGAAAATATCTTAAAATTATTTTCTTTTTATTTTTCTTATTTTCAAAATACATTACATTTTATTATTGAAAAATATAATTAGTTTGATCAATGTTTATCATAAACTGCCTACAATCATTACTAGTAGCTTATTTTTTAATTCCAAAATATTTTTAAATTAATATAACTAAACAGATTTTCATTTCATTTTGTTTTAAAAAAATCCAAAAAATTATATTATAAAACAGTTTTTAAAAATAAAAATTAAGAACAAAGACCAAACATGCACTATAGCTCCCTTATTTCCTATTCAACCATATTTTAATTAAAAATGAAAGAGATTAAAAGTCATCTGAAGAGGATTGGCTATCTCTCTCTCTCTCTCTCTCTCTCTCTCACTACTATTATTTCAACAGTTTTGTAATTTCTTGTGAGATAATTCTGAATTTCTGATTGCCGTAAAAGGCATTGGAGTGAACAAGATTAAGTCACACAATAATCAAATCAAAAATAAGATTTAAGTCACGTAAAACGTCCGGCCCAAACAATCACATAAAAGAAGGAGTCCAACTCCCTGAAATCCAAAAAGATGAAATGAATTCATTTCAAGGGTAATCCTCCCAACTCAGGCCTCGTGGTTTCTTTTCCTATTCTCATTTCTCAGCGTTCCATTCTTTTTTTATTTTTTTTTCTATTCTTTTCTTTTTTGACCAGTGATCTCAGCATTCTATTAAGGTCATGTAAACTTTACTCTGAACAATTCCTATAATAGTGCTGCAACAAACATGCTTTGCTTCTTCCTTTTTACCCCTTTTCTCCGGAAAAGTGAAAAGGCAAATCGTACACATGCAAAACTGAATCATTATTTTCAAGCACGCACTCATATAAAGTTGCAGTCAAAGATGGGGAAGCAAAAGGCACTCATTTTACTGATTTTTCTTCTTTTGGTGGTATAATCAACACCTAAAAGAAGCATACCAATAATTGTTGCCAGAACCCAGAGTAGGTTTTGAAAACAGTGTGCACATTTAGCTGCAAGTGTGAAGCAAGATGACGACTCTTCACAATGACAAAAATATCTGCAAGATACAAAAGTGTTTGATCCCTTTTTCAGAAACGTATTCAGTGTTTCTCCTTGAAAAATATCATCCCTCTTTTCTTAGTTTTTTCGTTTGCTGATTAAGGCACAGAAAGCAATAGTTCAGCCCATTTCTGCCACAATGAAGTTACATTGAGCAACGACAGTAAATAATCCTTGGACAAAAATGATAATACTGGCAGAAAAGGAATGAACTACTTAAAAATTTTTTCCCGGAGGGTCGCACAACAATGAGCTTCAAGCCTCTTTGGTAGGTTCCGAATAACAACTAGCACCTTAATTTTCCATTGACAGTGAATCAGATATACAGATGTCCCTCCGACAAAGTGGACATACCCTGCGTGCACAAGTTAAATTTTTAGCATCTCTGCTACTAACAAGATCATTAAAATAAGCAGAGACTATGAGAAGGTACTTTTTGACCGTTAGAGAATTGCCAAGTTTCAAAGACTGGGTTTGAAAGAAATCTATAGCATCAAATTTGCCACAAAGGAATTTGAGTTGCTCTAAATCCTACTCAGCATGAGCAAAAATGTTTGTTTAGACTAGAACTAGAATAGCACAGATGGAAATGTCCGCAGAAACTATGGTAGTAAAAGAGATAGTGAAAGATCAAATCTTTTTTTTCCTACAGTGCAAACTACTGGCATTTAGCAGTTAGAAGCAGGCCTAGATTCTCTTTAGTGACAGGAGGGAAAAGTGAAGAGGCAGAGAGAGATAGGGTGGGACTTTGTGGAGGGAAAAGTCGAGATATGGGTCTCACCTATCTCTTTCTCTCTCCACACTTTCTCCTCCAATGAATTCATAATAGTTAGGACTCAGACTCACTTTAATAACATAAGGATTGAACTGCAGATTAGTAGTCCCTAGAAGTTAAGGTAGGCAGACCATAAGATTTGCTTGGTGTCCACTCAACTTGAATTATGCTGACACAACATACCGCTATTAGGTTATGTTGTGCTTGTAAAAACATGGAGAAGGGAAGATTTCACTGAGACCTTCTTCCGATTTAAATATAATCTAAATTGTTCATTCTCCTCAATCCAAACATACACTAAAGTTTCCTCCAATAGAGAAGAAAAAGAATCCATCCACGTTTTACACTGCCCACTAGGATAAGTTTAAATGTTGATAAACATAGATATAAAATTCAACATGTTAAAGAGGGAAAAAAAACAGCAAATCATTCATACCTGTGAATTTCCTTGAGCCACTTGTCTATGCATGTTTTATGAAATTGGTGATGGCAAGGCAGCTCACGCATGCTGTCTCCATCCTCATATTCCACTAGGCATATATAGCATCTGTGAAATTAAGGAATGAGATAGGCAAAACTCCATCATTAAATTTCAATATTAGCAGAATTCCAGTTGTAATCTCAGTTAGATTTAATAGTAATAAATAAATAAAGGAAGAGTACACAGATGCATATCAAGTATAAAGAAGTAATTTGTAGATTGTAACAGGTCCATAAAAACTGATGTTTATTAGTTCCAATTATGAAAAAATCATAAAAATTGCAAACAAAGTTTCATAGCAATCAGTTGGCTGACATTTTCATATTATCATGTGAAACAGTAACAGTACAACTTGCAAGAAGACATTGATATCTAAGTCAGGCTCTTAAGACACTGAAAAGATGTGTGTCCAATTTTTGCATTTTCCTCCGTGATATCTCACTTTCAACAAAATAGCATACTTAATAAACTTTATCTAATGTGCTACTTGTAAGAATGAAGTATAAAATACATTATAAAGAAAAGGAAATAAAAGCAACAAAAGAACAAGAAAAAAATCCATTAATGCATTTGATAAACTGAACTATAAGAGGTTGGCGGGTGGTTAAATTCGAAAACTTACTGGGCAGCATCCTCTTGATATTTATGCAACTTTGTGTATAATCTGACTGGCAAAGACTCCACAACATCATTAGGCGCAGGAACAGATCCAATGGAAGACACAGAAGGGCGAGAAGATAAAACCGCAGATTGCTGGTGAATTTCATCCAGAACCTAATTAAAATATGTATAGAGGATTCACTTTGCATAAACAAATAATGGAAGGCCATCCTTATAGCTACCGTCATATAAACATACCTCAAATAAGGCTTCAGCTAGCATTACAATTCTTGATATGCTAGCTCTAGTACCAGTATCATCAATTGAACTAGTATCACGACTACCAATTCGGCATGTACAATGACCATTTCTATGTTGACCAGACAAGATACAAGATCTGTCATGTCCAGATAGATTCTCAAACCTGCTACCCAACCGCTGAAGAGCACGAACCTGAACCAATTTATATATAGGTCAATAACATTGCATAAACTCTTGCAGTATGATCCCCGAGCATTAACAGTTCTTTCTGTGCATTAAAATCTCATTATCGAATTATGCTAACATCAATCTCATCACCTTCCTACATGTGGATATACTACATAAATGGCCTCATGAGAATGATATTTTAGTTATGCTTTCAGTTTTTCCCCCTTTTACCAAGTTTTATTTGTGGAAGTAATACAAATTACAAAGCCATCAGTATCTGCTCAACATATAGAAAATTCATAAACCTGGGATCTTATCCTCCTTCTCCGTTCAAGGAAGTTGGACCTGTGTTCCAGCAGATCTTGGTACCTAGATTCTCTAGACCGTGAATTCTCAACCTCATTGTCTTGCACGTTGAATAAGGAGTTAGACATACTGGGTGGAGGATAACCAGACAAAGAAGAAGAAATTATAGCATTACCAAAAGATGGTAATACTCTTGAATGTCCCTCCCCTGCTTGTCTTTCATTGTCCTCACTAGTATCCCTTGCTTCTCTTTCTTGTTGCTGGGGACAAAAGCTGACATCAGATAAAGTTGATTGACGAAGAACTCTATCACGAAGCCTCCCAACACTTAGAGTTCGGCTATACTGGAAATTCCGTTCAACAGGTTCTCGAGCTCCATTTCGCCGAACTTCAACATTTTCAGTCTCAGCATGAGTTCTTGGAGAAAACAAGTTTATATCCAGCCCTTCACATGAACTATTCCCATCTCTAACCACGTTCTGAATGGAAGAAACTGAGGGATTGCACTGCAAGTTGCCAGACGAACCTGATGCTGGAAAATTAGAACATAAAGTATTATAAATATCTTCATTGTTCTGTTCATGCATTTGGTTGGCAAAAAAGGAGGAAACGAGTCATTACATTGTTGAGTTTCGTTTCTATTAACCAAGCTGCCATTTGGTCCTGGATGCAGACTAAGGTCGTCTTCATTGTTGAATATTGACAATGAAGTAGAAGAAACATGGCAAGACCTTGATGACCCTACACTGCTGGTTCTGCTAAGTCTAAAGCTTATATTACCAGGAATAAGGCCAAACCGAGAAAGAAATCGACTACCAGTTGAAGAAGTACGAGTAGATCGGCTACGAGTTCTGGAGGAATTACTGGAGATGCTTGTTTGAGCCCACTCATTAAGGTCAATGCTGGAAGGCGTGTCATCAGATGTTTTCGTTTTATTGTCTCTAAAAGACTTTGATTTCATCTCATTTGAGTGTGCTTTGGTGCAACTGCTGTATATGACACCACTGCCATTTACTTTACTCTGATCACAAACCTATAGCATGAATTATAAAACACAATTAGTGGATTGAAAGGAATCAGGTCTCGTAGTACATATTTCATTAAGGACGAAAGCAACACATTACTACAACTCAATATCAGCATCATTTACAATCTTATTTTTAGACATTGTGGGAGTTTATAGGCAGCAAGCAGTTACTCACCACCTCAGCAAATTAAAGTTTACAATCCCTTTATAGTGGAAGCAGTGAGTTTAAGGGTCTTGTTTAAACTCAAATAACAAAATATCCTTTCAACAGAAGATTATAAGTCAGACTTTGTATTTATTGCTTGAAAAACACATCATATCATCTTCATACTTGAAGGTTAAAATTCACAAGCATAAACATGTTCAGTAGCATATGGAAAGTTGGCAATTCAAGTATTTAAAGATCACTTCTCTCAATTTCTTTCTTTCTTTTTTCAAAGGTCATTAAATCATTGCCTTATAAGATATGAATCTCATCTAACTGTGAACAAGACTAGAGCTTGTTTTTCAGAGTCCTTAGCAGTGTGATCTTAGTGACAACTTTCATTCAATTATTATAAACTATCGCATGCGCCACACTTTTAGACAGAAGTTGAGATGACACATATTGTTCATCACCTTTGAGCGTTGCGGCTTCTTATATGATATATGAACTACTCCAAAAGATATCAGTTAACAAAAATATGAAAGCAAAAAAACAAAAAAAAAACAAAAAAAATGGAAACAAAACAGAATCGTAAACAAAACATAAAAAAGCAGAGAGATGAACGAAAGACCAGGATGCTGAGGACCAGAAAAGATCTTATACGCTACAATGCAAGAACAGAGCAGAACAGTAATAGCAATGCAATGAAATTGAGACCAGAATCTGTTAAGCAACATTTAAAACTGCACTTAAACTCAATGTACCTTGTATAGTCTTTCCACGTCAATACCAACCAGAACTCAAGCTCGAATAAACAACCATAAAGGAGAATCCAAACAAAATTTCAGGAATGAGCCAATGAACTACTTACCTGGTCGTCATGAGATCCAGAGGTTGTTCCCAGACAATACGACTGAAGTCCTCCGTGCCCTTTCTTAGATCGAGCCTTCCGGAAACTGCCAGAAGATGGCGACGAACTGCAAGAAGAAGTGGCTTTGCTGCTACTGGATCCCATGCTCACACCAATGCCACAAGAAATCTCCAAGCAGCAACGCTTTTTCTAGGTACTTAACCCCCTCAGGCCACAGGAAACAACCAAAACACAGAAATTGAAATGCTTCAGAATTCAGATCCACGTTGATGCCAAAATAAAGTCGCGATGTTTACTTGGTCTCGCATTGTCGTTGTCGTTTGGGTGAAATGTAAATTTACATAGGCAAAATGGGTCCAAAGAAAGAGAAGCATGTGGGGATAAAGCATTGGGAAAGTGATAGAAGGCAGTGATGGCAGAAGCTCAGTGAGTGAGAAATAGTAAACCGCAGTGATGGAAGAAAGAGAGCCATCCTCTCCCGAGAAGTAAAAAGTGAGAAGGTGGGTATTACAGACTTCAGTGTAAGGAAGAGGACGAGAAAATTGGCCTATACCGTGCCAGCATGTTAGCAATCCAGTTCCGCGGAGAAAAGGTCGGACTCATCGGTCTTTATCTTTGTTGTCCGAAACTTAGCATTAATGATGTAATAAATAGTAGTAATTAGCAGGGTTTTACATTCTTTTTTTTTTTTAGTTGAAAACAGTTTGTTGTCGGGTAAAGATATAAATTTGGACATAAATTATTTTTTGACAAACATCTGGCAGCAGGAACTTTTAAAAATAAAATATTCAGTGGTCCGATATTAATTTTAACTGATGGACTTTATGTAAAACCTACAATAACACATGACATTTCACGTTAGCATATATAAAGATACAAATTTAATCATGAACTATTTTTCAAATAACATTAGGTAGCCTTTATTATAAAAAATGAACCATTCAACATCATCCCATTAATTTTGATTAAATATCATTTATTTTTAGACTTATGAGATTGATAACTCGTCAATCTCTATAATCTTCTTACATTCTTTCATAATCATATCTCAAGAAGCAGATGTTCAAAGAGTTTTTATTTGAAAATATTCACGAAGATGACGCCAATAAAATAAAAGAAATAATCCGTGGTTAAATTAAACTATAATCAAACTTTTACTTCATTGACATCATCTTTGCGAATGTCTTTATATAAGAACTCTTTAAATATTTTTTTCTTGAGCTGATATTGAGAATGAAAGCAAGGAGATTGGAAGGATTAATGCTTTGTGAGTTTCATAAATATAAAAATAAATAATGTTTGGTCAAAATTAAGGAGAAAGTGTTGAATGATCCGTTTTTTATAATAAAGGCTATCCACGTTCCTTAAAAAATAGTTCATGACTAAATTTGCACATTTATCCATACTAATATGAAGTGCCATGTGTCATTATGGACCTTACATAACTTGTCAGTTGAAATTAACAACAAGCTACTGGATGTTTTATTTTTTAAAGTTCATGATTTATTTCATACCACTTAATAATTTAAGCCACTAAATATTTTTAAAAATAATTTATGACTAAATTTACTACTCTATTCATTTGTTACTTAACATGTCAATCGCACGATTATATTTACATATTATTTTTAATATCTTTTAAAAATATATAATTAATTAACTGTGGCTAAAAATTTAATAACTTTTAAGTTTTATTTTAATTAAATAATATATTTTCTTTCAAGAATATTTAAAGAGGTGAAGGAAAAATTAGTAAAAAAATTTATAAATAAGATAAAAAAATTATTATCTCCCTCTATCTCGTAAAGAGAGTTAGAAGTAAATATTTCTGCTTTAATAAAATTAAATGATCTAATTTACTTTGCTTCTGAGTTAATTTTATTAGTTACTCGTGTAAAGATGTTTTTAAGTAAATATAGACAATAAAACTTTTAATCTTTTAAATTTTTTTTGGTTATTGATATAATTTATGCACGAAAATTTTAAAAATTTATAATTTATACATAATTAATTAATTAATTTAGTATAATTCTCCCTTGTGTATGGTTTATAAAAATTAAACTTCATAAAACAAGTATATAGTTTAGACAAAGTTGAGTGACTAAATTTTATTATTTCATCTATACATCAACTTAACTCACCAAGTTAGTGAGTTAAATAGCCAAATCACTAAATTAAACCCATTTTTGTGTATCTTCTTGTAATGTTAATAGAATATTTTCTGTGATCTCATTTATAAGATACATTTTAAAATGTTCATTTAGTTTCATTTATAAGTCACAATACAGTTTTTTGGATAATATTTAAAATGTATTTTTAAAGTGACTTTTTATAAGAGAGAAAAAGTATCATAATATTAATTTTTAAATTTATTATAAAGGATCATATTTAAAAATTTATACATTTTTATTATTTTATTTTATTTTTATATTAATATTGATGAGATTGATGAAGATGAATTATAAAGAAGGTGAGAAAAATACATTTGTAATTAGAGAAATATATATATATATATATATATATATTGGTAAAAGAGAGGGCAAAGCCCATGACATTAGAAAATTAACCACCAAAAGGGAAACTAACTCCCACACGCTCAGTGTTCACTAAGCTCCTCAGGAAGGCAGGCACCACATCATGAAGACATGAATAAGAGAATCCTTCCTTAGCCAAACGGTTAGCTACTTTGTTAGAAACTCTTGACACATGTTTAACTTCCACACGCCAATTAAACTGAAGTAAATTATAGATTTTTAAAAGAATCAAACTTCCAAAATTTGAGTATTGAGACTACCCATTAATAAGATCTACCAACATCTTATAATCAGACTCCACAATGACACACCTAAATCCCATGTCCTAGACCAGTCTAAAAGAGCCCGTTCTTCAACTTCAAAGGGGCTACAACAACCCAGTTGGTATGAAAACCCCATAATCCATGAACTATCATGGTCTCTCAAAACACCTCCACATCCAGCCTTGTACATAGAAGAGGAGACAGCACCGTCAATATTGATTTTAACCCAATCCCTAGGGGGAGGTTGCCAAGTCTGTACCCAAGCTCCACTAAAATCCCTTGTATGTAAATCATCTTCATTTTTGCAAATATAGGATTTCCAAGAATTTAATAGAACAACAGTAGGATCAGGAGGTTTAAGAAAGCCTTATTGAAAAATGAAATTATTCCTCCATTTTCATAATTTTCAAATAGCTACTCCCTAAAATAAATCCCAATTAGATAGAAGATCGGAATGTTTATCAAAATTAAGATTCCAAGTCATCCACTCATTTAAAGTAGCAAAAAAGAAAATATTATGGTATTTACTTGGCACAAGTTTATACCAAACCAATTGAGCATAGCAGCAATCACGAAGAATATGCAAAACACCCTCCACTTTAATATCACACTAGGAGTAAAGAGGTGAACAATTAGTCCATGAGCTTCTCCATGTGTTAGTGGGTAATCTATTATGAAAAGTAAGCCAAAGGAATGGATGAATCCTTTCAGCCCCTTTCCATTTCCAAATCCTCTTGAGTAAAGGATCATACCAGTCTGAAGGTGGATCTTTAATCATAAAATAAGCACTTTTTAAGGTTAAGATACCACTAGCATTCCCTTACCAAACCATGGCATCATACCCAGCAAAAGAAGAGGGAGACATAGTACAAATAAGCTTAGAGAAAACCTTATTGGAAACAATAAGTGATAGCCTACTAAAATTCCACGCACTAAAACGTGTCCAATTAGCTACTACTGTTTTCCTTTCCTTCACAATCAGGGGCCTTAAAATTATATCCTTGCTTTTTTTTAATCAGGAAATAACCAAAAATCTTCAAAAAAAATTAACAACTTCACCATTTCTGATCTACCATCTTATGCCCTCCTTTACTAAATCCTTTTGTTGGCATATAAACTTCCAGAGCTGCAAATCTCCTCCTTTTACATTGAAAAGATCTTCCTCTAATTGGTACATGTATTTTTCTGTAATAAATCTACTCATAAGCCTTTGCTGCCTGATACAAGTTTCCACGCCAGCTCTGTACCACAAGCTTTGTTTACTGAAGAGAGCTTCTTAAATCCAAGGCCCCAAAGGCCTTTGGTTGCATTACTCTTTTTCAACAAAGAGGATGAAACCCTTATGAATTGTTACTTCCCCAAATGAAGTTTCACTGGAACTTCTCAATCTCATTACAAATCTTGGCAGGCACTTTAAAGACTTGCATTGGGTACAAAGGGATAGCACTTAACATAGACTTAGCCAAGATTGCTCTTCTAACAGTCGAAAGACAATTAGATCTAAACTTGCTGGTTAGAGAAAAATATTTCAATTGATAAAACGTGACCCATACTCCAACAATCTCTTTTGGCCCAAATGATTCTTTCTTTTTTGGGCTAGCATATGGTCCAAATAATTCAATCTAGCTAATTTGTTTTTTGTCCTTCGAGAGTCAGAGTAGACTACGTCGTTTAGTCCTGGATAGTGATAAGGGGATGTTGACAGGGGTCCCCTTGCCCATTCTCCTTTTGCTCATCAGCCCAGACCCCTTTACTTTGTTCGTTTTTGTTATCAAAAAATGAATTTTTTCTTCAATAATATTCACAAAAGCACTTGCAGAAATTAGCACAGGTCAAAAGAAACTGAAATGTGAGATAGTTAGGGTTTGTTTGATTTCAGTTTTCAAAAATAATTTTTATTTTTAAAAATAAAAAATGTTTAAATTAGTGTTTTGAACCCAATTATTTCAAAAACTGTAATATATTAAAGCTGTTTTCATTTTTTTTACTTTTAAAATACAATTATCTTGATTAATAATCATTATAAACCATTACCATTAATTACTATTGGTAATTACTATTGACCATCACTGTCATCGAGTTTTTAATTCTAAAACTATTTTTAAAATATCATAGTCAAATAGATTTTTTTTTGTCTTGTCCTAAAAATCAATTTTTAAAACTATCTTGCAAAGAAAGTTTTGAAATAAAAAATAAAAATAGAAACCAAAACAAACTCTAAAGGCCTGTTTGATTTTAAAATTATTTTTTAAAACAAATAAAAAGAAAATTTGTTTGGCTGTGATAGTTTTAAACAGTTTTGAAATTAAAAAGTTGACTAATAATAATGGTCATGGGTAATTAATAATGATATCTTATAACATTCTTTGATCAAGGAAACTATAGTTTTTAATAATGAAGTGTAATGTATTTTGAAAATAAAAAAATAAAATCAAAATGACTTTAAGATATTTTTATTTATTTGGCTTCTAAAAAAAACAATTTTAAAAACAACTAGATTCAAAGTAGTTATCCAAACAAGTTTTTAATTTTTTTTACGTAATTTTTAAAATAAAAACATGCCCTTAATAATTTCTCTAGCTTTAATTTTCTTTTTAATTAGAGAGACGGGACTTAACAACATGAAGTTACAAGAAAAATTAAACCCATGATCTTTGACTCATAAGAAATTTCATTAGTGCCACGAAATTTCAAAATTGTTGACATTTCTCTAGTTTTAATGACGTGTTGAGTTAATAATAATGCTTCATTTTATTCAAAAGTCCATGTCCCTAAAAGAGGTTACAATGAAGAAAACCAAAAACAATTTTTTAAGGAAAAAATTAAGCATATTTAATGTACTTGTTTTTAACAAAATCAAAACACAAGGATATTTTATAAATAATTTATTCTATATTGAATTGTTATTATTGATTTTATAAATATATTAAGATCACTCATCATTTTAAAGTTGCAACAAAAGCCGATTTTTTGTAGCTGACCATTGCTTAATGAGGAGGTCATGGAAGTTATTCATAAGGTTGAGTGTGTATATTTAAAGGTTGCACAAAGCTTGCAGCACAACTGAACACTCGCCATTGCTACATTCTAATTATATCCTTGATGTATTATTATATTATGTTAAAAATTTTGTTGGCATTATAGTATCGTGGTAAATCAAAATCATGCACAAAGTCCTAAATCAATCATAATTCAGCTGCGCCTAATTAAAAATGAAAATAGGTTAAGAGATTTATCAAGAGCCTATGGTATAACCTAATCAGGTCCTGACCTATTTACTAAAAGCCTGTAAGTTTGCCATGCCTTCTGTTTATGTTTTTATTTTAAAATATAAACTAATAAATACGAAACTAAATTAAACCAATAAACAAAGCAAAACTTCATTTTACAATTTATATGATACCAATTAACTATTATCACAAATACGGAGCTAAACAATAACTGTTACTATAAACATAACTAAATATTATTTTCTACCTTGTATAAATATATATGAATATATATTCCCTTCATTCAAAAATATAAAGCATTTTTAATTGATTCTCACCCTAATAAAGTAGTTACCTATTTTTAAATTAATCATATCTTTTTATATTTATTTCTATTAAATATCGTACAATAAATATAAAGTCATTCATCAATAGATGTACTTTTAAAAAAATACAATTATTACACCTTAAAAGATTAAAAATATTTTATATTTTTTAACACTTAACTATTTAAAAAATGCCTTACATTTTTTAATTGAGGGAGTATCTAATATATTATAATTTAATTTAATTAATTTTTTTTAAAATAAGTAATCACACTTGGCTACAGACATTTGCTCGAAAACTTAACTTGGAAAAATATCACTCAAAGGCCATGGAAGCAATTTAATGTCATATAAGAATCCAAAGATTTTAATATATTAATATAGAATCAGGGAATTGCTCTGAAAACAATTTTAGATAAAAAAAGATTATAATACTCCTACCCTTCTTTCTTTCTTTCTTTCTTTTAAAAATTCCACTAGAGAATTTTTTTATTAAATATAAATGAGTATTTATTAATTAATGAATGATTATTTATTAAAATATCATTTACATTTATCTCTTCTCACAATTAAGTTCTTTTAATTTTTAAACTTATCAATTAACAAATAATTTATTATTAAATATGAATAAGTACTTGTTAAATTAATGAATTGTTATCAGTTGAAACATGATTTACAGTTATTCCTTTCCACAACCAAGTTATATTTTAGATCATTAAACTTGTCAATTAGCGAATCACTTTTTATATTAAATATAAATGAGTACTTATTAATTAATAAATGGTTATTTGTTAAACCATAATCTATAATTATCTCTTTTTACAATCAAGTTTTTTTCATATTTTAAAATTTATCAGTTAGTAAATAATTTTTTATTAAATGTGAATGGGGCAATTGACATTTGTTAAATCACAAATGATAATTTGTCAAATAAAAAAAAAAGACAAAGGAATTATAACTTTTTTCTTTTAAAATTATTTTTAAATCAGTCTTTTAATCTTGTATTAATATTTTAAAATGTTTCCATCCTTAATTTGTACTCTATCGGTTTAAAAATATAAAGCATTATTAACAAAATCTTACCTTCAATAAAGTAGTTACCTACTTTTAAATTAATTTTATCTTTTCATATTTATTCCTATTAAACATCCTATAATAAATATAAAATTATTATTAATAAAATATTTTTAAAAAAGATAATAATTATATCTTGAAAGATTAAAAATACTTTATATTTTAAATATTTAATTTGTCAAAAAATATTTTATATTTTTACATTGATGGAATATTCTCTGTAGTCTTTTGAATGATATTTTCCGAATTAAGTCAATTAACCTTCTATCTCGAAATAATTTATCACATATCACGCCCAACATCATTTTTATTTTTTAACGGCAACCGCAAAATTGAATTCCATTCTTATTTGAGTCTCCTAGTCCCAAGACTGAAACAACATAACACCAAACTAAATCTACAAACCTCGACGGAGCTTCACTATGCGGTTGTTAGTAAGCGTTCAAAGAACAAACACCTTGCCTGCAAACTAAATCTACACATACCTCGACGACCCACGGATATGTTAAAAGCTTTTCCTGTGCCTCCTCGCCTTCTCTCTATGCCTTCTTTCACAAGGTACGTCCCATCCTCCCGCTGATTTAGTTCGCATGTAAGCCTCGTTTTCTCTCATACAACTGGTGTCTATTTACTTTCGCATTCCAGGAAAATGGTTGTAAGAAGTGGGTATTTCTTAAGTAGTTATAGTTCGCTGGTGATTATTGAATAGCTTAGCGGGTGAATGGGAAATCATGTGCTGAATCCGTGACTATGAATTTGTTGCAGAGTATTTTTGAGCAAAACGAGCTCAGTGCCATCGCAACTCAAAATTCCGAAGTTCTTTTCCGTGGAAGGAAGTGATATACATTCAAGAAGTAAACCAGATGGTAATGCGATGTCCCTTAGCTGTTTGGTTTATCCATTAAAGTTTTACTTTTATGTGATTATAATTTGGTCCATTGTGTATGTTTTTTTCTGCTGCTGTGGTTGTTTCTCTTCTATATTTTCCATATGACAATTTTCAGCGTGCTTGGCTTGAGTTTGAAGTACAGGAATTTAACTGTAGAGCACGATGTATTCCATGGGGTGGGCTGGAATTCTAATCGAGCATTTTGAATGTTATGAACAAGAGGGGTAGTCTAATAGAGAATGAAACCATAAAGTAGCCAAATATTCTCTCTCCGATCTTCTTTTTTCTGTTTTCTTGTAATTTCTTCATCTCCCGCATTTTTGAACTCTAGTGGGGGTGGGAAACAATAAGAGGAGGGAATGGAAATGGCAAGAATGAAAGTTGAATGGGGATCGAGAAATGGTGCATACATTCATTTCTTTCTCTCCTCTTTTTATCTTTTAAACTAAGCCAGGACCAACAACAATTCTTCATGTTATGTTAGATGATGTCAATTGAACCTAAAGGCTATTCCACTATAAAACAACATAAAAAATGGCTTTAGTCCTTAGATCCAGGTTCCCAAATAAGCCACAAACCAAGCTGTCACTTCTTCTGGTCTTCTGTGTTGGCCTTTATTATGCTGACATTTAGGCAAAACAAGTGAATGGTGGTGACAGGTTGCCATGCCATTTGATGTCAGAGTATCTTAAAATGATTCAATCTGTCTCTTTTCAGCCTCACTTAATAGTGCATATTCATCAATTAAAATAAGCATGTATTTTCAATTTTTTGGGGATCATTTACAGACATCTAAAGTTTAATATCACAGGTTTCAGATTCAACCTTGTCTCATATAATATATTGGCTCAGGTATGGTATTTATTTTTTTCATCCAATTTCTAAAAGGATTTTGTTACTTTTTACATGCTGGTGCAAACCATGAAATGTAATTAATAACTATAGCTATATGATATTTTCTTAGGACAAAGTTGGGGTCAGCGATAAACTGAGTCTTAAGTTGTGCATGAGCCCAAGTCATTAAGGATCTTGAACCTTTGTTTGTTTTAACCTTATTTATTTGATTTTTTTTTATTTGTGATGTAGGCTTATGTGAAGAGCTCTCTATTCCCGCACTCTCCTTCCTCTTCACTGAAGTATATTACTTTGGATCCTAAGTTACAAATAATGATAGCAAGATCTGCATCTATGCTTCATTTTACCATTGTTGTTTTCACTTATTGTAGGTGGAAAGCTCGTTCAAATGCAATTTTAACGATTCTCAAGAATCTTGGAGCTGATTTTTTCTGTCTACAGGTTCTTTCTTTATAAATTTTGGGTCTTCTTTTATCTTCTCTATCTTTCTCTTGGGTTGCTTTTAGTTGAAGTCAAATATTGAATGTTTTATAAATTTATTGTAAATTTCAATTTCTTGACTACTTTTCCTAATAATATTGAAAACAAGAAGCTCCTTCTTGATGCTAAAAACCTTTTCAGGAAGTTGATGAGTATGATAGCTTTTACAAAGGAAGCATGCTCAACATAGGATATTCTAGTGTTTATATGAAGAGAAGTGGACAAAAACGTGATGGGTGTGGGTTATTTTACAAGCAAGATCGGTATGTTGAACCTTTTGTGCAGAACACAAGCAACTTATAGTTTTGCGGACACAAGATTTGTAATTTAAATTTTGCGTGAGTTATAGGAATTATAATTATTAATAGCTAGGAATCAGGATTTTGTTATTAGAACCCAGTTTGCTTGCCAGGCCTGTGTTTTCTTTACTTTTGATCCTTGTACTTCTTCTTTCCATTGAAAGATTGAGTTTGAACATATGACTTTTACTCCATGACTGGTGATTGTAGTGGTTGTAATGCAAAGTTGGTTAATAGATGGATTTCTGGAGGCAGAAATCCTGAATTTCCAATGTTGTAATGTGGTAATCGAGCTATTATCAATTGATTATTGTTTGGATGAGTACTTTGTGTCTATCTCTACCGCCTTTCATTTCCATATCATCCTTTGTAGTTGATTGTAGTTGAATATATCTGTTGCAAGCATCCAAAACTCAAAACAAAGTATATATTTACATTACCTAGGTTTTGGTTAGGTTCTTCATATTGCCTCAAAAAAATAGAGTAAGATGTGTTTTATGCGTGATTGGTGTTCTTCAAATGGATTTTGAGTTGTGGCTTGTTAGGGAGAATGCTTATCCTTATGGCCTTCAATAATCTTAGTTTTATATTTATCCATACTTTGTGCTATTTAGTGCAGAGCTGGTCTTAGAGGAGAAAATCGAATACAATGATCTGGTAAATTCAATTCAAGATGGGAACTCTTCAAATGATGGTGAGCACAACAATGATCAGTCAGAGAAACAAAAGGATGCTGCACCAAGTACTGGTAACTTTTATGCTGTGTTATTATGCCTACACTGATTGCGGGTGGGGATGCAGCGTGAAACCAGATTATTTTATGTTTTCTGTTATTTGGTATTTTTAACATTGATTGGACGATATCTTCATTAATTTTATTTTTCACATTCAGGACCTAAAAAAAATGCAGAAGATCGTGGAGATCCTAATGATCCCTGTGTGAGACTAAAGCGTGATTGTGTTGGTATTTTGGCCGCATTCAAATTTAGAGATCTTCCTGATCATGTTGTTATTGTGGCTAATACACATCTTTACTGGTAATTTAATGATTCATATGTGAATGTCTCTTTTCTTTTCAGTTTTTTTTTTTTTTTAACTTTTAGCTAACTTTTACCATAGCGTAGCTTGGTTCCTATGAATACAAGTTCGCTCAACTTCAATGGTGAAATTGATGAAGTTTACATTTTTGCGCCAGGGATCCTGAATGGGCTGATGTCAAGCTTGCCCAAGCTAAATATCTTCTATCTCGTTTAGCACAATTCAAAACGCTGGTGTCAGAAAGATTTGAATGCGTACCTGAAGTCATAGTGGCTGGTGACTTCAATTCTACACCAGGAGATATGGTACACAAGCACCTCTAAATTATTAATTTTCTATTTTATAGTAAGGGCTCATTTAATGGAGATAAAATGAATACAACCATTTTGAAGATAAGAAGTGACATTCGTGCTCGAATTTTTAGAAGTAAAATAAAAAGAAAGGAATAAATATTATTAACTGCAATGATGAATGATGTAACAACTTATATAAATGACAGAAAGGGATTGTCTTTAGATCCATGATGCTAAACAGTGGTGCGAGTTAATCTTCAAGTAATGCAATATCACTTATCCGGCAGGTGTAAGTCCACATGCTTGATAAGAAACCAGAGGAATTCTCACGGAATTCCTGCTAGAGAGAAGTTGTTTTGCCATTTCTATTGATAATTTCATTGGAATTTCTGCAAGAAAGTCTTTTCTCCAAGACTTTTTATTTTTTTACACGGAAGATGTTCGCAGGGAAATCACTATTTTTCCCCCCCAATTGTTGTACTTTCAAAATTGGAGCTGCATATTTTCTCAACATGTTTCTAATAATTCAATCCCCTTTCTTTTTGCAGGTTTATCAATACCTTGTATCTGGCTACCCTTCATCAACACCGATGCCTGAATGCTCAGAAGACCTTTCCATTCCCTTATTAAGTGTCTATGCCTGTACAAGAGGAGAGCCTTCATTTACCAACTGCACTCCTGGGTTCACAGGAACATTGGATTATATACTATTTAGCCCTTCTCACACTATTAAACCAATCAGTTTTCTTGAGCTTCCTGACTCCAGTGCCCCTGATGTTGATGGTGGACTGCCAAACTTCAGTCATCCAAGTGATCATCTACCGATTGGTGCTGAATTTGAAATTATCAAGGGATAAACAGTCTTATGAGAAGTTATATTTGATTTCCCTGGAAAATTGTGCTCCTTTTCCTTCAAGGCTGCAAGAGTAAGTGAATGATGGAAGTTAGCATGAAAACCACACAGTAAGCTAATTCTATAACGAGGAATTGCTGGGCTTAGCGGGGAGAATGAGGTTATACAGTTTCAACGAGTTTGTTATTCCTGATTTTTTGAGTTTGTATCAATTTAGAGGAACATTGTGTTGTGTCCTATTTATTTTAGGGAAAGAAAATGCTTTTTAGATTTATACATTTGTGTTTATTCATTTCTGAAAAATAAGTGATCTGCTAACTTTCTCTATAAAAGTGAACAAACTTTGCAAATGCTGAGTTGGGGCTTGAATCTCTAATTGCGTGTTGTTATCACTGACTTGCACGGATAACGGATTCACACTTGATACTGTTGACGTCAATTCTGCTTGTCTCCTTTCCTTCCTTCAATTCATTGAATTATTCTTATCTAAATGGTTTGAAAAATTTAATAGGACTAAGAGGGGAGGAGGAAAGGGGTGGAAAAGAAGCCAACTTTTTAGGGCGAAGGGTGTTTGCTGCCCAGTTTTCCTACCTTGCCTGATGCGCCTAGTATCATCCCTTCAATTGATCCATTGGGTAGAAACATTTCATTAATTGAAATGACGTCATTTTGAAGGAGCAAATCTTGACTGCTTATCCACAGAACAAATTCTAATCGTTGATCTCTTTTAATGTTTAATTCATTGATTTTTTTTGACCAGCAATGTTAAATTCATCGATTCAGCCATTTTTCGTTCCAAGTTACCTTTTGGCGACGGCTTCATCCCCAGCTTTCTGACTTCGAACGATAGAGTACAAGTTCAACAAAGATGCAGATCTTTCCGTCCGACCGCCCTAGCTTCCTCACGTCTTCCTTTGCTGTGCCCGCTGGCTTCCATGATCAAATTCCTATTTTAAGATTCGATGAGTTGCTTTCGCTGGCCTTTTTGCATCATTTTCACACTAATAATCATAAAAAAAGCGTCAAAAATCATGCTTGATAAAGTCCACATACCTGTGCAGAAGTTTCCCGCGCTTGAGACTTTGTTTTTGCGATCAGCTTCTCTGCCAGTGTGATGAGGAAGACGGTGATTTTAAATTAAAAGCCATCTAGGATTAAGTGTTGGAATGAACTGTCCAAATTTAACCTTCTAAACAACGTAGTTTTGATTGATGAATTGTTCATAGACGTAGGATGAAATTAATGGCTAAGATGAGAGGCATCAGAAGGGGCAGCGCAAAAGGCACATTAGACACCCCATGCACGACTTTTTATTGACATATCCTGATGAAGCTGCTATACATAGATTTTATATTATGGAATAGAACTTTACGTGGACATGTGCCGTGCAGGTTAGAATGAGGCTTATAAATGGTCTGAACAAAGTTTTTTTTTTTTTTTTATATTCAAATTTACCATCAACAATTTTGTGAGCTTGTATTTAATAAGAATATGAGGTGGGATTGAAATGAAACACAACTTTAGGCCACTATTTCATCCAAACTTCAATCATACAAATCTGAGTTTTTCTTCTTTAAAACTAATCCTAAATTCTCATCAAAGCAACAATTTATCTAATATCATAACTAAAATAGGACACACCAAAAAGTGAAGAACCAACTTAAATTACCTTCCCTTATTAGAACTAGAAGTTCAAAGCCAATGAAAAGGACAATTTAAATTTGGCATTGCCGCTGAAGGTGGGTGTTAAAAGTAGGGCAATTTGAGTGGTGGGTTGAAGAAAAGTGATGGTTCCAATAAGTGGTCATTGCTCACCTCATTGCCCACTTTTTGAAGTGACAAAGGAGCACTCCCAAGTGCTGCAAAAGATTCCACGTATTTTGCATCTACAAACTTCATCTGTCATCTGCTACGTTATAATGCCCTTTGCTTTGTGGAATGGAATTAAATAATTTTTTTAAAAAAAATGCAGGATGCCATATCTAACTTATTAAACAATAATTAAAAATGTAATAAATATTTTGTCTGATTGCATGACTAACACAGAATGTATTTTAAATACAGAATGCTACCTCTAACTAGTGTTCTCCAAATTCTTGGAAACTCTAGCAGTTTTCTGGCTCATCACGAGAGTGGAGCAAACTATTTATATTTTATGAATATCTATAAAATCTATATGCTTGAATTTATGTATGATAATTTTTATTGCCTCTTTAAAATTTTGAATTTTGGTAGTATTATATCAGTCTCGTTCGCATAAATTTTGAATAAAATTTTATTTTTTATTTATCGGAATAAAATATACAACAAACTAGCCATTCACATGACATAAATTGTGCTACTCATTAATCAATATCTGTGCATACGTGGAAAACGTGTAGTTGTATCAGTAAATTGTTGAGACATTTTATGGCTTGTAACATTTTTTATAAACAGAATGCTTATTATCATGAAACTTTTTGAGATGAGTCTAAAATTAGTCTCTTCTCTTAAAAAGTCCTTTCTTCTCTAATAAAGACATAAAACAATATTATTCATACGAAAACAAATGCTAAATAAAGTTTTGATAATTGAAATAATTCACTAGCCACATTCCTCTTTTTACCCTTTTTTTTTCTCCTTTTGAGAATTGCACTCCTCTTTTTTCATAATTTTTTTTTAACTAACAGAATCATTTAATGACCTTATGACTTAATGACATGAAAACTTACATAAGATCACGAATTAAATCTGACTTGTAAGTTGTAAGCTTGCGCCATTAATACCTACCCACTCTAAATTAAAAAATAACTGAATCAGGTTTGTGTGAAAAGAAACTATTTTCTCATATTCTAAATGTGCTTTGCACCAATTTTAACAAGTTCTTATCCTGCATTTTTACTAATTTCAAGGGCAAGCAGTGTACTTAAGATGCATACTTTAATGCCCCCACCCGCGCCCCAAAAAAAAAAAAAAATCTAAAAGTGAAGTCCCAGTCCAAGTCCTGTCCTTGATCTGTGTCAACCGTCTACCAAAACTATTCACTAATTTTCTTTGATTTGATTTGCATATTTTTCATCGTTAATTCATAATGTAATACTCACTTTTTTTTTTTTTTCAAATCAACGAACCTCATGGTATTAAGTTTGTCCTTGGTCTGAGTTATTGTTCGTGCTGCAAAAAGCATTATGTCGGATCTATAATTATGTTGCCTGCCAAACTTGACCCCTTGTATAACATGATCGAACCATTTGAGTGACTTCTGAGATCAGCTTATAATCATTAAGTCACGACCTTCTCATCACTCAACATGACCATGTGCATTTCACGGTAATATAAATAAAACCAAATTCCATTACCTTGCTTATCACACACTATAAAAGCATATGCTAGTTTTACTTACTCCATAAGCCTTTATATTAAATCCTCAGGATAGAGAAATACCACCCTACTACAAAAAATGCTAGACATTCTTGAGGACTTTGAGGCCTCAGAGCCTGGGAAATTAATAGTGGAGATTACCAAGAAAAGTGTTGTAAAGGCTATGAATCATCCGCCGGCATCATTTTCAATCACTCTCTCAAATCTTGATCTTCTTTCTGGTCGTTTTCCTGTGACATACTTGTATTTCTTTCGCAGACCCAAACTATTAGTTCGTGACTTTGGAGCACTTATTGAGTCTCTCAAGAGCTCTCTAGCTCAAACACTTGATTGCTACTATCCCTTTGCAGGCCAAATTGTTCAGAACCCCAAAACTGGTGAGCCTGAAATCATCTGTGACAACAATGGAGCTCTAATCGTTGAAGCTCACGCCAATCTCCCAATGAAGGAACTAAATTTCCATAATCTCAATGAAACCATTCAAGGTAAGCTAGTCTCTATCCAACCAGGCTTCCCTCTGCAAACTCAGATAACAGATTACACTTGTGGAAGCATCTCTATCGCTTTCACTTTTGACCATGCATTAGGTGATGCAAGTTCCTTTGGTAAATTCATTGCCTCATGGTTTGAAAGAGCGCAAAATAAGCCCCTTTCAATTCTCCCAGACCATACTAGACACCTTCAAGCTCGTTTTCCTCCCAAATATCACCCATCATTGGACCAAACTTTCATCAAGTGCACTATAGAAGAGATACAGAACATGCCAACGAACAACATAACGCTTAAGCGTCTTTATCACATCAATGCATCAAGTATTGATATGCTCCAGAGACTGGCATCACGTGGTGGCACCAAAAGAACAAAGATTGAGGCTTTCTCTAGCTATGTATGGAAGATAATGATTAGAACCATTGATCAGAGGTACGAGAAATGCAAGATGGGTTGGTTAGTGGATGGAAGAGAAAAATAGGAGGAAAAGGTAGCAGGAATTGTATGTCAAATTACATAGGCAATGTCTTATCACTGGCTTTTGGGGAGGCAAGGATTCAAGAGTTGAAGGAAGCTTCAATCTCAGAAACTGCCAAGAGAGTGCATGAGGCTATTACAGAGGTGAACAATGAGGCTCATTTTTTGGATTTGATTGATTGGGTTGAGTGCCAAAGGCCTGGCTTGATGCTAGCAAAGGCAGTGTTGGGTCAGGAAGGACCAGTCCTGGTTGTGTCCTCAGGAAGAAGGTTTCCAGTAACTGAAGTGGACTTTGGGTTTGGGAGTCCCGTGTTAGGGACAGTCTATACCTCTGTTGAAAGGGTCGGGGTAGGTTATATGAACCAGAGGCAAAGTGGTAGCAGTGATGGCTCATGGACTGTCTCTGCTATCTTGTGGCCAGAGCTAGCGGCTGCACTTGAGGATGACCCTATTTTCCAGCCCATGACTGCTTCTCATCTTCAACTTTAGTGCAGTGCAAAGTCCAGCTCTCTTCTCTATCCTGCAGGTTAAAATTAACACAAATAATATTAAACACACACACACACACACACACATGAAGTTCTGCCATGCCCATCATAATCAACGTGTATCTTTTCATTGTATTTGATGTTTGCGACAATTTGATAAGAGCCATATGTTTGCTCTCCAAACGGTGCGATGGGATGAGGAAGTTATAAGCAATAAGCATAACTCAACGCATGACCACCAAAATGAAGATTCAACAAAAAAAGTTGTGACATATTTTTCAGGGAACAGTAAATAATACAAATTGCAGATGTTAAATGTTATTTAATGTCATGTACTAGGCCTTAGTTACTTGGACTCTGGACTTGGGATGAATTTTAAGTTATCATTAAAACAAGTTAGCATGTTCAATTTTTTCGCTTCAAAATCTCAATACAATAAATGACAAACAACCCCGAGATTGACAGAGACTGAGCAACAGCAAGTGGTTCAAGAAGTTTGACACCTGATTTCCTTAAGTAAATCTCATTAGAGTCTTGCAAATGAAGAAAACTGCAGCTGGGAGAGCTTAGCACAAATGTAGTCTAACCCAACTCAATCCGACTTAAGGTCCAATGTAGCTTTCAAAAACCAAATGGCATTGAAGCAACATAAATAAAGAAATAAAATAAAACCAAAATTTTCCTTTGCACTGGTTGGATGTACCAAATTTGAGAGCATCCTTTTAAAATTTTCTTTTTTGAAAAACACAAGGGAAATTCTTAAAAAAGCTTGACAACCTACCTAGTTGCCTTTGTCGTCAATTGCTAATTAAATCTGAATATCATCGCATCACATCCTGATTGTAATACATACTTCGATTTGTTTGCATATCCGAGGTTGCACTTCACTTTTTTTCTTGGAGCTGTTATCCTAAAAGGACTAAGCTGAGGATGATGAAATTTGGGAAACGAAAAGTCATTGGTCAACGTGCATATTTAATGACCTCACATATCATTCCTTGGTGCCACATCCAAATGCCACAATCTGAACAGGAAAAAGGAATATGAAAAGTATCATAGAACATGAATATTCCAAGGGTGGAAGAGAGGTTAGCCCACATTTCACAGATTTAAGCAAGAAAATAGGTCCATTTTTGGCATCTTCAAGTCTCCAATGCAATATCTAATGGTGGATTCAGCTCATTTGATCTCTATGAAGTCTTTCAGCACCAACTGTAATCGACAGAGGTTCCTGTGTGAGGTAAAGAATTCCATCATGAGACTCGCGTAAGACAGAAGTTAGTAAAATTGAAGAAGACATCATGAGACACTTAACAACATCGACAAGCCTTATTCCACTAAATAAGATTGGCTACATGAATTGTGCAACATCATTATACTCTATCACATCATGAGAATAACGACAAGCCTTATCTCAGTAGATGGGATACTACATGGATTGCGTGACATTATTATGCTCTCCCGCATCTCATGATGCTCACTGGACAAAAATTAGTAAAAATGACAGAGTCGTCCTTTTGATACTTGACCATGTCACTTGTTTCAGAGATGCCTGCACGCAAGAAGTAAAATCACGGCAATAAATCTACAAACCACAGAAAAACGAACATAATCCAATCAAGGACCAACAGAAGACCACAACCTGGTAGATGGTTAAGGAGCAAGAAAATCATTGCTGTGGGGCAGTCCTTGTACACTCGAGAATTTAATTTCCCTGATTTTCAAACACAAGCAATGGATCACTAAAAAAATAGAAAATGTATAATATAACAGGAATCTTTTTTTTTACCTTAAGGAAGGTACTAGACAATAGACAATAAGCAGGATCATGTTAATTATTTCAAATTTTCAATACACATCATATATTTTCAACAATATTAGACTACTCAGCATAACACAGCCGCATGACTTCTATTCTAGATCAACAATAACGTGACATAATTGGGTATAGTCAGCTAAACCAACCATTTAGAAACAAAGAAGATCAAATTATGTGTGAATTGCCTTTAAAACAACTAGATTGAGCTTTGTAAACCTATCCCGTATTTGAATTAATTTTGACTTGAAATATTTGGTCTAGCCTTTTTTGAAAAAATAGAAAAGGTTAAATTATTTTTTAAAAAGGAAAATAGAAAAAAAAGAGATGTGTAAAATAATTCTTGCTTATCAAATATTAGATAACATATTTGTCTGCTTCAACAACAAATCAGCATAGTGATGAAGACCAAGCCAATCAGTTTTGTAACATAATTACCAACACACAAATATATATTCTAAAGTAAAAGTTGATCTACCATTCAGAGAACATGACTGTGAATACATTTAACCCCTGAAAGGAGCACTGCACCGTATGAAAATATTTGTGAAAAAAGGAGCACTGCACCATATGAAATTTTTTGTGGAAAAAAATGCTTATGAAGGTTAGTAACCATTGTCCTAGCATAACCTTCAACAATCAATTTATTCAAGCCATAAACAAAAGACATTAAAAAACACAATCAGAGCAAAAAAACAATAGTATATTTTTATCTTGTATGACCAACCTCTTAAGCTCCAAGTTCATTCTTCGATTGGGAATCTGGGGAAAGAGCATGCTGCCTTAGTTGTTGCCTTTAATCCACATGTTGGATATCAAGCATATGAAACCTTCATCTTCAGGAAATGCTGAGGCTGAGCATAATTGTGACAGCATCAATCCCAAGATTCATGGTATCAACCAAATCAGAGAAGTTTACTAATTACTCTTGAAAGCTAAGTGCTGAAGGAGGATGCAACCCATGAACCAACGTCGTATATGTAATTTCATCTAGTGATACTCCACCACCAGACATGTGATCACACAGTTGAAAGGCTTCTTGTAGTTTCCTTTCCTTGCAATGCCCATTTACCAATGCATTACAAGTGACAGTATCTGGTGTTATACCATTTACTATCATCTTACATAAAATCTCATTTGCTTCTTTCATATAGCCCAATTTGCTATACCCATCAATTATAACAGTGTATGTAATTTTATTGGGATGTATATTGTTTGCAGACATTTCAAGCAAGACACTTATCGCTCTATCCATCTGGCCAAGCTTACAGTAACCCCCAATAAGTGCAGTATAACATACAACGTCTGGTAACAAGCCTACTTTTCTCATTTCTTCAAAAATATCTTTTGCCTCATCAACACGGCCAATATTGCTCATTCCATGTATTAGAGAAGAAAATGTGGCACATGTTGGTGGAATACCCCTACTTTTCATGGCATCACGAAGTTTGAAGGCTTCTATCACATTACCAATTCGACAATAGGCTGATATAAGTATGTTATAAACAACAGAATTTAGTTCTACTATCCTATTATTAACTAACTCATTGAATAAGCTTATAGCGTCATCAAGTCTGTCAAACTTACAATATCCTTTAATGATCAATGCATATGTATAGACATTTGGAAGCAAGCCCTCTTGCTGGCCTTCATGCAAAAGCTTACTCGCATCATCCATTTTACCCATATCAACTAAACTCTTCATTATACAATTGTAGGTTTGTATATCTGGTTGGATCCCTTGCTTAGCCATCTCTTTCTTAAGCTTGAAACCTTGTTCAACCATACCGCTTTTGCAACAGCCAAGAATGAGTATGTTGTATGAGATCCTGTCCAATACCAAACCCCTCTCAAGCATCTTTTGGAGTATTGTGTCAACCCTCTGAAAGTTCCCTTGTTCACAAAGTCCATGAAGAAGAGCATTTGAGGTAATAGTATTGGCTGCAAAGCCTTTATCTGCAAGGCTAAACCAAAGCTCAATAGCCTCTGAATGTTTTCTACACTTACAAAGGCCGTGGACTAATGCGGTAAGCAAGTTATCACTAGGCTTGATATTTTTCAATAACAACTCTCTAACAAATCGAAGGGCAGAATCAAACTTTGCTTTCTTACATAGAGAATGAATAACAGAAAAACATGCATCCAGGTTAATAGATAACCCACTGGATAATATCTCCTCTAATATTTTCTCAGCTTGCTCTATTTTATTAGTTCTGCAAAAACCTTGTAAAAGAGTATTAAGAGCAACAGAATTGGGTTTTATGCCCTTAGATAACATGTTATCATTGATCCTCAGTGCTTCACTCATATTTCCCCTCCTACAGCATCCATCAATCAGCGTGTTATAAACAAACTCGTTGGCAGTAAAGCCACTGTCCGACATTTCCACCAAAATGCAATTTGCTTCATCATATTTCTCCGATTTCACCAAAGCATTGATAAGCACGCTATAGGTTATAAGACTTGGATTCACATTACTTTTTACCATCCTTTCTTTAAATCGAAATGCCTCTTCTAATCTAGCACTCTTGCAGAGCCCATCAATCATGTTATTGTAGGTAACAACATTAGGTGAAACACCAACCTCCTCCATTTTCAAAAACAAACTAATTGCATCCTCCGCCCTGCCTCCTTTGAAAAATGCATTGATTGCAGTAGTGCAGGTGTAAACATCCGGTAAAACAAGTTGACAATAAGCATCAAACACTTCATAACACTTTTGAAGTTCATTAGCCTTCAATAATGAGTTCAACAACAAGTTGCAAATTTTCTGAGATGGAAACGTCCCCTTTCTCCAAAATAAGTAAAATATATCAATAGCAGCATGTAGACCCGAATCCTTGAATCGGGTGCAGAAAACATGAATCAACAAATCCAATCCATCATGATTTTTTTCCGTGACGGTATTTAACTCCAACATTGAAGCAGCTATTTCAATGTGCCTATCGTAGTCACCAAACAAAGCAGGCAACTCCCCATCAATCAGACGGATTAAAAGCAACCTTGCAGGTGATAAAAGGGTCGAAGATAGAAGCAAACGAACCAAAAGGCAGTACGACCGAACCGTGAATCGAAACTTGAAAGAATCAGCAGCGAAATGAAAGAAGAGAAGAGTTGTTTTGAGGTTCACATTGGATTTAATAGTAAAGAATACGTGATCAAATTCAAGAGGCGACAAGCGGGTTATCAAAGCTTGACAGGTAGCAGAATCCAGAACCTTGCTGGAGAGAATAGAATGCACCAAATCAAGCAGGCTCTGCTCAGAAGAAGGTAATGATTGACTCTGAGGCTTTGGAGGTGGAGATTGAGGAGGGCTAAAGTGGGTTGATGTCACCCAGGTCAAGGAACGCGAGATGCGTGCCGAGAAAGGAGAAGGCATAGCTCTTGAAAGCCTTCTCAAATCCATTGAACAAAGCATTGGTTGGAATTTGTGGGTCTTCGAAATGCACTCTGAGTGGTTTTATAATTATAATGAAGCTGAAGCGGAAGCGGAAGCCATGATCTGGGTAGCTTCGCCTCACAAGAGAGGAAGTGACAGAGCCTCTCTTGCCATGGGGATGGGGAGCGACAAAGGAGGAGAAAATGGGCGTTGATGTTTTGCTACTGGGCACATGAGACGTGACTCTAGAGGTGGGCTTGAGACAGAAAACTCCCACTGCGCATAACCTTGTTTTTGGCATTGAAACTTGGACTTCCTTAAAATGGGCGAATATTTATGTTTGACAGAAACATGGGAGGTCACATTTTCTCTGGGCCAGAAGGGAGAAACCCAGAATTGATATGCAAATTTGGTTGAGCGAGGCAATTGGCGTGAAATTCGAATCAGTTCCACTTTTTGGTGCACGTTTATGCGTCAATTTTAATCCATTTATTTAGTGAAAATATATCAAACATTTTTATTACAGTCAAAATTAATTATAAATTTAAAATTATAATTTAAAAAAATATTCAACATCTATTATACTTGTCAACATTAAATATAAATTTAAAATCATGGTTGTTTTAAAAATATTTAAACACTTTTATATATGTTAAAATTAATTATCAACTCAAAATCATAATTTATAAAATAAAGTATATGTATTTTGTGGATTAATTTTTTTTTAAAATATATAATTAAAAAAAGCTGATATAACAAAAATAATGAAGGATATATATATTTAAATTGGAAGAGTGGAGGCGGAGGGATGGGTCCCTGCCCCTTCCAGTTTTGTAAATTGTGAAAGCGGTGGTGGTGTGGCTGCGTCCGCGCCTCTGCCTTTACGGGAATGTTTGGATAGATCCAGCATGAAAAATATTTCAATATTGTTAATGTAAGGTTATGTTTAAGAGCATATATCATATAATGCAAAAGTACGGTCATTAGTGAAATAGAATAGGGTGGAGTAAGACAGGGTAAAATGGAATGTAACATTATATTGTTTGAGAGTTTTATCTGAGGAATAGATGATTTTATTTAATCATTATTTAAGTATAATTGTAAAATTAATATATTTAAATTAGATATAACTATATTTTTTAGTTTTAGGGTTGGAGGGATTGAAAAAGTGAGAAGAATGGGATCATTTTATAATAATGTTAACTATTCCATCCTCAACCCTCAAATTGAGGGTTACAAAAAATAAGTTTAAGATGGTTAGAAATAACTTGAAAAATTATCTCAAGTCATTCCACCTTTGAAAAAAAAATTCTCTCAAACAATTGTCTTAAATTTTTAATCATCTCACTCTATTTTATTCTATCATAAGAAGAAAAAAAACTCACAAACAGAACCTAAAAAAACGCATTTATGGGGTTCCTTCAAGGGTCCAATTATAACATAATTGTATAGTAGCATGGAAGCATACCTTTCAAGAATAAAATATTCAATAACCAATTGATTTGATTCTAATAGAAGGTGCTAATCTCTCGGAACGTGATAAATTAAAATTTAAATATTTACTAAAAAATATATTTATATTTAGTGTCTGCTTCTATTTTTAAATATGATTGCCTCCAGAATATTCAATGGCGAAGCCACATGTATTCGAGGGGCATACGTCCCCTCACTTGGGAAGAATGACATATACAGGTATGAATTTTCATATTTTGCAATTTGTGCCCCTCTTTCTTATATTTTGCACCTTGTATTTTAATATTTTAAATATTAAACTTATTTCAATCTTATTTTTTAACTTAGATCTAAATTTTAATTTTTAACCTAAAGCATAGTAAATATTACCTTATAATTTCATTATGCCTAGGTATTAATATTATTTATTAATCCTTTAAAAACAGAAAAAAATTAATTCGATTAAATCAGAGTCATCCTTGTCTCAAATATTAGTCAAGGACTAGTGAAAAAAAAAAAGACAAATGAAAATTTAAAAGTCAAGTAAACTCAATGAATATTTTTTATTATATTTCTACCCTTACAAGGTTACAATTAAAAGCTGAATTAAGAATTAAGGATAAAAAAAAAAGAGAAATAGTGAATTAAAAAAAAAAAAAACCTTGTGCCAAGCATCCCAACCCAGCCGCTGCTTTCTTCACCCAGGATCCTAACTTCACAGTCGAGAATGTCAATTTAAAGAAAAAACAAATTATTCGATGTAAAGGAAGGGGGTTATTGCAGCTGATTGCTATAATACCATTTGACCTTTTCTTTTCTTTTCTTTTTTGACATGAGATGAACGAATAAGGGTATGTTTGATTATCCAAAATTCTGCAGAAAAATAAATATTTACAAAGTTCTTTAATAAAAATAATCCAACGTTACTTGTTTGGAATGGACTTTCTTGCTTGATTTTACCTTTTCAAATGATTTTTTTTAAAAATATTCTAATATGTTTAAATAATAGTTTATTAAGAGGACTCTTGACTTAGGAGAGTCATAGCCAAACATACACTAAAGCTTTCACGGTTCAAATGTATTTTTTTATCTCACGACGAATATCAACATCTAAATGCTCAAAATCTAAAAAAAAAAGTAAACTCATTGGTAAATTTTATATATATATATATATATATAATGGATTCGTACAGGTATTTAAAAACAATATCAATTCCACGTGTCAAAATACTTTTTATTAAACGAAACAAAGAGCAGAATTTGAGATCTTCAATTAAATTGATTCACTGGAATTATTTCATGTGAAACGTTTTATTGGTCCTCATCATAATATCATTTCATGACCAAGCAAGAAGGTCCCCAGGATAAAATACTCTCTTTGCACAACTTGTAAAGAGTTTTATAATAACTAGCACTAATATATATATTTTTTTAAATTCCCTTTGTTCTGATATTTTCCAAAATACTGACTCTGTATTATACATGAATTTTATTGAAGCTGGTTTTGGAAAAAAAGTAAGAGTTTTCCACAAATTTACAAATATTAATTAATTTTAAATGAATTTCCTAATCTAATTGCCAACAAGTTCATGTAATAAGGAGTAGGTTTAATTTCATTTATTGATCTTAAATCATATTGAACAATTATCAATAATCATAACAACCATCCATTAACCTAACCAATTAAAATTCAAGGTATAATACTCGTAATAAAATTGACGTGGATGATGCTTTTAAAACTCGTGTCTTGGTCAACATTGACTCATGAGGTCACAATTAGTCAGCTCCAGTAACCTTTGCCACGATATAAACTATTTTGGTTGAAATATACTACTCTATATACTTTAGATTATAAAACAATTGAAGATAAGATTATATATATATATCAATAAAATATAATAATAATATTTTATAAACTTATTTTATTAAAATAAAATTATAAACTTTTAAAAATATTCTCACACACTTAATTCTTATTCCCTAACTACCACAATATAATACATCTTTTAAAAATTTTATTGGGTTCAAAACACAAAGTATTCCCTCTATCTCAAATTATAATTTTTTAAATAAAATCTTATATATTAATAAATCTTATTGAATACATTCAATAACCTTATCTTTTTAAAATAAAAATATAAAATTTTAAAAATACCCATAATTTAATATATTGAAAAGAAAAAACACGAAAATTAATTGTAGAGAGAGGAAGGATAATAATAAAATTGATGCATTTAATGAAATTTTAATTGACTCAAAGTGTCTTGTATTATAAGACAGAGAAACTTTTTCAAAAGTACTTCATAATTTAGGACGGAGGTAGTATCAAGTAATTTTTATAATTGTCACTTCAATTATACCCATATTTCATGTATTACTCTTTTTTAAAAAAGGGTATGTTAGAATTTTAATTGTTATAATCAATGCACTTATATAGAGTATTCAATGAAAAAATAATTAAAAAATAAATATTTTTTAAGAAATTAAGATTTTAACTAATATTTTTTTAAATCATGAATTAGTTATTAATATCTTGTATTATGATTTAGAGGGAATACACTATAATATCATTTTAATTTTTCCTTCACTTAAGGGTAATATTAAAAAATGAATTGATAAAACCTTACTTTTCTCAAATTGTTTTATGTTATAGGATAATAAAATTTTTTTAAAGTTATCTTATAATTTTGGATAAATGGAATATTATCTAAACAAATTAACTGGACTTGTGTTTATAAATCAAACTTAAAAATAAAATAAATTCCTAACATTTTATGGTGTGACGAGACCAGAAAGCAAAGAAAAAACGTAATCTTTGATCTCTATAGTTTTATCAAATTTTGCTTTTAATTTATGTAGTTTTTTCTAGTATTTTTCAGTTCCTATAAGGACTAAAATAACTAAAAAGTAAAAATTATTGCAACTTAAAAAATTAAAATCGCGTCATTCTTTTTAAAACTATAGAAATTGAAAATACTAAAAAAAATTACAGGAATTAAAAGCAAAATCTAATGAAACTATAAAGATTAAAGATTATGTTTTCCTTAAACAAAAATATGAAGGTAAAATTACAATCAGGGACCCCAAGGCTATTGGTTGCAATTAAGAACTCTAAACTACCGAAATCTCAATAATAAATTATGATCTTGAATTAAAAAATGCAAATAGTTTAAAATGTCCCTTGAAAGTGATTTTAATAAATTTCTAAATGACTAATATATAATCACAAGTACTTTGAAAAATTTTAAAAGTAAATTTTAGCTTTATATTATGAAACAATTCATTTTTAATTATTACTTTTTAGTTTTTCAATTAAAATTAATAATATTCTCATTCCATGATAGTAATTACACTAATATCATTTCTTTATTTTAAAAGTTATCTACCTATATATTAATAAGTATAAAAATTTATAAGTGATTGAATTCATATTTAACAGTGATGTTAATAAATTTTTTAAATGATCATCATATATTCACAAACACTTTTAAAAAGTTCTAAAAATAAATTTTAATTTTATTAAAAAATAATTCATTCTCAACTATTATCTCTTGACTTTTTAATTAAAATTAATAATATTTTTATCTCATGATAATAATTTTAAAAATATCATTTATTTATTTTTAAATAGAGGATAACTTTATAAATTTATATATATTTTTAATTTTAATTTTTAATAAGGACAAGAGTTATTTTAATAATTTAGTGTGGGGCGTGAAAGAGACGGGGGCGGTCATCTCAGCCCATGTTATAAACGAGGGAGTCGCTAACTCTCCAGTCGCCAGTCGCCACTCATAGAAGCAAA